AGTTCTATTCTTACACACTACTTTTCCACATTCCTAACTCTGCTTTTGAGTGGAAGATCGTCACGAGACGAGGTTATAAAAAAAAAAAAAAAACAGTTTTTACTGAAGTATTATCAGGAGTTGATAATTACTTTCCATCTTAATTTCAAAGAGATTCAGACTCACGACAGCGGGTAAGCCAGAGCTATCAAACATGAAAGGAATGCGAGCATAGTTTGGATGTTTCGTGTAATTCGCCTTAAAAGAAGCAAATTCACATTGACTGCACAACACTCTCGACCACTACGCCCTGCATACGTTAGATAAATACGTATGTATCCCAAAGCGCAACATCCACATCACTTTTATTTATTATAATTCATATTAGAATAATATATGGGCATATAAATAATCGACAGAACCGGTTTTTGGACAGCAAAATAAAGCTATAAATTTTTACTATAACTCACATTAATGTATGTGTAATTTATAGCACACAACTAAGTATTAGCAAAAATTTCCAATTCCTAAAAAAAAAAAAAAAAAATTAAAATAATAATAATAAAAAACAATTTAATCGCTTTTCTTTCATTTAAAATTTAAATTTTATTTCGTTCATCATGCACGTCCAAATTTTGATTGGGTTGCTACGGGGTAGTTAGTTATTGAAAAAAAAAAACAATCTTTTTTAATGTATTCGTAGTACGTTAGAATCGCGTAATGCGAGACAAGTGTAATGAAAAATTACATTTAAACAACAAACACTGGTGTTATAATCACTTACTTACAGGAATATCTTAAAAAACCCATAAAAAATCAACGTCAGTGACAGTGAGTTTATAAATCGTTTTTAATGAAATGCGTCTATAAATGGTTATGTGTTGCGTTTTTGTAACTTTCGCGATTATTTCGAAAAGAATGAAAACGAAATGTATCATTGAAAGGCTAACTTGAATTAGGCACAGTGGGCACTTGTCGTAGGGAAACGCACAAAATCCCACCTACGCACATATGTAAGCATCTTCGGCAAATTATTGTAATTAATAAGTAACAACCAACCAAGCACAACGGACAACCGAGCGAACTTGTCTTGCATTGTCCTTGTTTAAAAAAAAAAAGAAAAGAGAAAAGAAAAGAAAAGAAAATTAACACACGCACATATAATGGCACATATTAGGCTAAATCTCACCATACGTGTACTACCGCTGAAGCTTTTGCTAATATTGGGTATTATATATGGAATATTGGCTAAACCCACCGTCGTTACACTTCTTAAGACTGATATATCGTCTCCAGTGCCATTTATTACACAAACTTTACCCGACATCTCTACAAGGAAGATTGATGAGAATACCCTGCCGATGCTGGCTACTACGATCGCAACGAATCTGAGGGAAAATGATTATGTAGATAATATTGGAATAACGGATGGCAAGCATAAAGATAAAGATAAGGATAAGGACGTCGAATTTAACGATTTCATAATAAGTGAACGACCCGATACAAATATACATAACGATGCTGCTAAAGGCAACAATAATAACGATAATGATTATGTTGAAACTGTTGTAAAGTATGTGGACATTACAACACCGACGTCAATGGAACAACAAGATGGTCCCATAGTTCCTCCAACAACAATAACGTTTAGCAACATAGCGTCCGCCAGCGTATGGGGCGAATCAAGTGGGGGCGGTCTAGCTTTTGATGCTGGCGTAATATTTAATGGCGCCACGCCACCCTACGCAGCAGTAGATGATAATTACGGTAAGAAACGAAATTTATTTTACATAAAAGTGTGGAGTTTTTTAAAAACAAATTATTAAAAGAAGTTTTCCACAAAAATGATAACATTTTTCAAAAAAGTTTGCAGCTGCTAGCAGGTCATTCCTGCAAACACAATAACTTTAAGTTTGTCCAAGCACCAGCTTATCGAGATATATTTAGATAAGCTATTTTGAATCTTAAGCCATTAATACATAATTGTGTGTTTAATATCCGAAACAATTAGTACGATAAATTAATTGGTATTTCGACTCAATGAAATGGAGATTACGACGCCAAGCTCGATTAGGCATTTCACTAATATGAAAACGCCTGCAAATGTCTCTTCTCTTTTTTTATCTTCTATGCTCAGAATTCCATTTTCTTCATGACGATCATGTTGGTTTTCTTGTTAATTGCCGGAACCTTAAAAATGAAAGAACATATAATTGAAGGGAACATAATGTTACGTATACGAAAGGATCACATTGATCCTTGATTGATAAATTGTAAGGTAACCCACATGACACTGTGCAAATGCAACGCCACAATTAGGAAATTTTCTCACACGCAGGCACAACACATAAATAACATGTTTGACTTAAACAACCGCAAATCTATTTACTTTGTTACTCATCCGTATAAGTCTAAACAGACCTTTCGTAAAAGTTTTTTAAATGTCTTCACAAATTTCGATAGCGGTTAATAGCCCGCTAATAAAATGGCGATCATTGTCGGTACCAGTGAATTCACAGGTTCTTCATACCCAAAATTCTTGGTCCTTTGATCAGAGATAAAATGAACGTATATTACAATCAGAAGTTTACAGAATCTACGAAGAAGTGCTTTGTTGGAATTTTACGTATTTTTTAAAACCTTATCTTGGGAATTCAAAAGTCATAGAATGAAAATGAACGGTTTAAACCTTAGGCCAGGATATTTGCTGTAGTGCAACAGATCAAGTTTGAGAGACAAAAATCTCGAAATATTGCTGCCAATGGTTTGAAGATGGCAAAAGTTAACGTCACAAACCGACCCAGGTTTGGAACGTTTTCCGAATTTTTTGCATTTGTATGTGAAAACAGGTGCACAAAATTCACTCTAGCTTTTAAGTAATCAGACTATGAAATGAAAATGATTAACAAAAAGCAAAGTAAGCCGTAAGTATTCAGCAGTAAACTTTAGTATGATATTTTTGCAGACTCGGATCAACAAATTTCAATACAGAAAAAGGATGAAATTTTGTGTTTGTGCATAAAATGCAGTAACAAGAGCAATGACTATTACTATTACTATTGCATCCAATGAAAGGGTGCTTTCTTTGTGCAACGTTTCTTTGAAATTCTTGAAGCATTCTTCTTCTCTTTCATTAAAATTTTTAAAGATAACATTCATAGGTTTGTCTGGGTACGTAAGCAAGGTTTAAAGCTTGCTATTACGTTCCTCGTAAATAAAAGTGTTGTGCTTTTCTTTTTTTTTTGTTTGTACCCTTTTCGCTTTTAGGCTCTCAATTTGTTAGATGGTAGTCGTCTGTCTGAATGCATTTGTACGAGTTATTGTCTTTAATTCTATTTCAGACGTTAAAGTGACAATTGTTTATACTTTGCTGCCTATTACAGTCAAAGAAATGTTTAATTTGTCTTTCGTCGGCTTAAGCCTCATATTTGAACACACACGCAGTAAGGCGTAGTACAGCCATGTATGTATTATCTAATGACACAATTGTATGGGCCACAATACAACGCGTAGAGTAAAATGTTTGTGACAATAAAAAGGCAACAACAATAACGAGAGCAATAACAAAGAGTATAAATGACTTGCTGTTGTCCTTTCGTTTCGTGTATGTAAATGGAAGCTTTCGATTGTCTTGATTATGCGAGTTGTGTGTGTGTATGTTGTGTGCATGCATGCCTTGCTTGCATAGGTGTTTCGTGCACTTCCGCTTCCCAAATGTTTATCTAAGATTGCCGTTACGTGAATGCAAGATAACTGATGATTGTCGACACGCACTCTAGCACCCACATGTTGGTGTTGGTGGGCGAAAAAAAAGTGCACAATTCTATTCATAATTTTTAGTTTAAACGAAAAGCAAAGGAAAAATGCAATTGTCATTCAAATTGTTGTTGTGATGTCGTTCGCTCTTTCGTTGTTTAAAGTTTATTGACGCATAAGTGTGATAATGAGAAGAAAAACTAAAGACATTGCCTTTACTCCTTTTCTGCAGGGAACAACTTCGAAAAGCAAGCACTTTACTTTCGACAACATTTCTTGCAATGCTTTGTTTGCGCGATAAAAATAAAAAATATTTACTTTAAACTCAAGTTACATGACAAAAGCTTTTCTATAGAGACAAAACTCCATCATTTCGCCGTGATATACACTTAAAAACTTTTCGAACCAAGCGTACAGGTATACTAGCTTCGTCAGGCCTTTCATAACAATAACAGTAGTACGGAGTGAAGATCTCTTATTTGTTCGTCTAGTCATATTTTGCAGAAACTCTCTCTCTCTCTCTCTTTGATTTTCCACTTGCGGTCACAAATAGAAATTGAAAAGAAGCGAGGAGAAGAATCCGTCTACAAATATCGCCTTCAATAGCCCACGGTTCGTTCGGCGATGAGAGGAGCAGCCTAAAATTAACGAAACACTTTGCGGTTTTTATAAATTTTGGTCGAGGTAGTGGTTATTCTAGATTCGCCCAAACGTGAATAGAACTTTCTTACTTTTTATTTCTGGTTTCTGTACACGTCTGTGCTCAAGTGTATGTTGTAAAGTATCATTACAAACTGATGACTGCATAAAGTATACATCAACTGACAGCACGCAGCATGTTAATGAAATTGTATCAATGTCACGTTTCCGGAAGTATAGTACACTTTGTATTGTGCACACACATTGTGCCTTAAGTAGGCGTCTATCTTCAAGCTCTTTCTTAGCTTTCATTGCCTCTATTTGCAAGTGTGAAATCTTGACGCTTTAAAAACACGAAAGCATGATTTAACATTAAATTTCAGTCGCAGCAATACAATTGCAATAGTTTAACTCAAACAGAATAGTATGACAGGCACGTGTTCTCTCACACCAGAGCGTTCAGAAAATTTTCGCAGCCCGACAAATAGGATTGTTTTTCTATTGAATTTTACACACGCAACTTATTATTACTTAGGCACTAACCAACAAATTTGACGCCCAAAACGGACATGGTAGTAGTGATCCAATGATTATTTCAGTCTACAAATTGCAAACGAATTTTCGAAGACGAACAAGGTTATGTTCTAATCTTCAGTCAGGGAAGAGAAGCAGAAATTCATTTAGACCGCCCTTGAACAATGGTTGCCAAATACATCCAATATATCCTCCAAAGCAACATTGCAATAGTGCATGTCTTTATAAAAACTCTGATGGTCTACTTATATGCGAGTACTTACGTAGAACAATGTTACGCAATAAAGGCAAAGATCGACAGATTGCACATTACCGTTATTGGCGATTTTCGTATTTGGCGTCTTCCACATAGTTTATTTGACGCAACAGCTGATTAAATCGTACGAGCAGCAGAAACTCCCTGAATAATTTCCTAAAATCATATTTTAGTCTACAACTAGCGGACTGAACTGGTCAGAGATCTTTAATCGCTTAAAATGAAATATGCAAGAATATTTTCTTTTTCAAATTGTTTGATATTTTTTATTTCCGATTGGAAAAACAAACAACAAGAACGACATTTACTTTCCTTTATCGTTTATGTATTGATCCTTGCATTTTTGACTGCAGTAACGTAGATGACGATCTAAGGCCTCTTTCCCGCAAGGGCACCAACGCTTCCTTTTCATCTCAATTTCTTCCAAAACCATAGCCTTATAGCGCTTCTTCAGCTTAAAAAGGTCTTCCTTATTGCGGTGCATTTTCTCCTGTTCGATATTAATAGTGGCATTGTGGAACATCTTTACAATTTTCAGCTCACGCTTACAATTTTCGAGCCGTTCAGAAACTGACTCAAGAGTAGGAATATTCAAATCGGATTGATGACCCATTTCCGCAGACGTCTCTTTAATGCGTCGTTTTAAAATTGCTTTCATTTTAAGCTTTCATTCGTATCCGTAATGCTCTTTGAAAATGCTTGATTTTTTCTAGTTGAATGACCTCTGGAATGAAAAAGAAACTCATAATTCTTATTTGAACCTAAAAAATTTTACCTTACTTGACAAAAAAATCAAAAATTATTTGCTTATGTTTTTCAGTATTTTTGAATTTGATTCTAATTGAACCTCTAAAGCAATTATCGATAAGTTACCATAGAGATGGAAAATTAATCATATAACTTATGACTTCTTCTTTTGCGAGGCAGCTTTATTGTGTTGGGGAAAACCTACATTATATATAACTTAACAGTCGAGTAAGGAGACATGCCCCCGCTTGTTTGTTATTTCCAAAGTTAAGAAAAAAGTTGTGCAGGAAGTATTTTAACGGATTATTTACTATCTTTCCAGCGTGGCTCTTCAAATTCACTCTTAGGAAACACTTTAAAGTATTTCTATATTTCCTTTTTTGCATTCCATATTTAGATGTAATTACCTTCTGGACTATACCTTTATAACATTCTGCGAAATAATCGTCTTTTATATAACGGTGTAGTCGTTAAATTATTTACTATCCGAACAGACACATTATCCATACTTTATAGAAAAATGTTTCCAGTACGACATGATGCACCTCTAAAGCGTAAAGCAGTCTACCGTCTTTCGTTTATGATGTTAATATGCGCGTAACTTCGCAGTGCATTTGAGAGTTCGTTTCCGGTGTGCGCTGTGTTTCAGTTGGCAATCCGGCAATTTTCATAGGCTTGCAATAAATAAATGCTTTCTCACTATATCGTAATTACACGAAAAAAAAACGAAAGGTCGAATCGAAGGGTAAGGTCGTGGCATTCTGCTTCAGTTTCTGCAATTTCGAGTACTCCGGTTCTATTTTCACTGCACGCAGGACAATAGGACAACACTGACACATTTATCTTCGAGCCAAATTCGCAATGTTTTCAGTTATCTTTGGCAGTAGTCGGGTCAAAATAGCTTCTTTCGCCATTTGAGACGTTTGGTATCGTTTTCGTAAATGATACGTTACGAACAGATTGCATATGGCACAGTGTGAGTGATAATTTGAATACAATTTTTTAAGCAGACAGAACGTGTTAAAGTTGGTTTCAATCGTTATCTCAAAGCAGACATTCTTGAGAGTCTTTCTTCTTTCACATAACATGAACATGCAATGATACAGATAATAACGTGCAAAAGGACAAACTTGCTCCTTGCTGTTGCCCTTTTTTTTTGTTCAATATGCTCATGCCATGACAATGAGTTGCTTTGATTTTTCATTAATGACACACACTATCTTAGGCGAATTTGTACTAGTGCTTAGGCACATGTCAGTTGCAGTTGTGGGCAACCGAAGCTTAGTACTGTGGTTTTGTTTATTTGCATGCATAATGTGTAAAATTTCCACCCCTCCCCCTCTTAATGTCATATTAAATTGCATATGTTGAAAACTGTTTTCGTTTATTTTGTTTATGTTACATTTCGAGCCTTTTTGGATGCTTAGTTCATGACGAATTTTGAGAAATTTTGCAAAAGTTTTAGTCTAGTCGTCGTAAGTTTTGCTTTTGGCTTCTTAACGTTGTAAAACTTAAGCTCCTTAGTTTAAGAAGAACGCTAAGGGCGCTGGATTTAGACCCCATGTAAATGCATATGTGAAATGTAAAGTGTCATGATCATCCCTTACGTTCTTCTAAATTGGTTTAAGGCTTTATGAGCTGTTGCGGTAATGCCAGCAACAATTCTCGTCCTTTGCATACCGGCAATGATATGTATGTATGTATGTGGCGAACGCAAGAGGGAGACGGACAAGACTTGCAAACAATTACAAGAAGCCTTGCATATGAAGTTATTGAAATTATTTTAAAAAAAAATCTTATATTAATCAATTTAAATGAAGCAGAAACAAAGAGAGAAAAGGAAAAAGAACGAAAACAATTAAAGTTCAGTTGGCAGGTGCCAAAGAGTCAAGCAATGAAAAAACAAATGTTAGACTAAAAGGAGAATGATTCGAAAACATTGGCAACCAATCACCCAGATAGACGACATCTATAAAGTACATTAAAATATATTTTTATTCTATACATACACAAAGACAAAAAAGTCAATTGCATTTAACAAAAAAAAGGGACAATTCCAGCTCACTAAACATGATTGCAATTGTAAGCTAGTGTGAGCGGTTGCCCGAGTAAAGTGTGCGGAATGCTTGCTGGTTCAATTACAGGTACAACAAATATTCACCCGATAAATAATGGCATGATGGTATCAGCTGCCTTTAGTCGTGGCTGTTGCCTTTGTGCCATATCAATTCAATTGAATAAGCTTACAGAAACACGACTACAATAACAACAAGATACACAAGACGCAAACTGTTATATACGTAAACACGAGACACTAACTTACAATTGTAACGGGAAACGTGAACAACGTGAAAACGGAAAAGCAAATTTATAGCATCAAGAGGAAACGAGATCAGAAACATATACTCAACTTAATGATATATGGTTTATCAAGCGAAATTGAAAATAAGAAAGGAATTATGTTCAGCTTAAACCGAATTGTTTTAATACTCAGTAATTGTTCCCACCTTTTGCTTTTAAATTATACATGCATGCGAAGTTTGTTCATTGTTTAGTCATCATAATATATCAGTGCATATTCAGTCAGTATCACAAAAATTTCAGTAATGGTCTCCAACACAAAAAATCGATCTTCTTAAGCGGAAAAATCGAAAGTAGAACGATCCATGCAACAATCCCACACGTAAGCGACGCCGCTACAGACTTCTCATTTAGCTCTCTTTTCTTAGTCGGCCCGCTTCTTTGCAAGTGCTCGCCGTTTGGCTGTTAAAGGCGTCTCTGATTTACCCGAACTCAGTTGAGAGTGCGGGATTTTCAAAATACAAAAACTCAACAATTTTCGCAAATAGTGCATAGGAAGAAATGGATTCATATTTTTGAAAACCCTTTATAAATGCGCATTTGATGCTGCCTGCTTCAGGGTTTCAATTTTCTGTCGTTCGAGAACACACACATTAAAAGCGCAAGCAACTTTACACGAAGATCGCGAATTCCAACACCAGAGACTTACTCCTATCAAATATTCGTATCTTGCGTGATAGATATTTTAACGTCTAAGAATTCGAAAATCAAAATATTAATGAGAATAGTTTTGATTCGAACTAAATATAGAATAAACTAGAAGCCATAAAGAGTGACAGCGAATCAATCGAACGAAAGCAATTTTTTTACGTGCTCTCGTCTTTGTCATCTTATCGGCAACAAACTTAGTAGAATTTACCACAAAGGCAACTAAAATAACATTTCGAATAGTATCGGGATTAAAAGTGATATCAGTGGAAAGCGAAAATTAATCTATAATTTATTCCTCACTGAAGCAAACCATCACCCTTTGAATCAGTCGCTCAACTTTTAAAAAGCAAGACAGCAAAGGTTAGGAAACGTAATGTATGGTTCCACACAAATATTTAAATACATTACAAAGCATAGTATGTTTTCAACTTGAAAAGGAATAGAAAAGGAGAAATAAAATAAAATAAAATAAAATAAAATAGAATATGAAATGCAAGCAAAAGGAACCATCTTAACATTGTGTTGTCTCCTGTTCCCTTGAAGTGTGTTCTACTTTGCATGCAGGATTGTCCCTAATATAATAGAAACATGCTGTGATGTACATATAGCCATTTATCTGAGTTAAAACGTAGAAAATGAAAAACATTGCAGTGAAACCTTTCAAATTGATTGGAATATTAATGAATACACATACACAAAAACGTACCGTCAAACTTTCAATTCTTTGTATTTAAGTTCATATGTGTTTTACTGACACTTTGAGTTGAAATGTGCATACATTGGGTACTTCTCGCATTATCGAAATGTCCATCAGTGTTTAATAACTAACCATAATGACCGCATGGAAACACGCATTGATGCGCAGTGCTCATATCGATAGCTATGCTTCAAAGCAAATCATTAATTGAATTTCTTTAGAAATTCATAAAGGAGTTGAATAAAATTTCAATTAATTTACATATGATTAGGTTGAATCCCTTTGTTCACCCACCATTTATGCCTCTTACACCCCGTTAAAAATTGTCGCTCTTTGCAAAAGTGTGGTTTAGCATTTGCAACGAGGAGTGATACCTACATTTCAAGTCGAAGTCCTACTACATAAAATAAAGAAGAGTGACCGAGCGAGCATAAGAGGAGGCCAAATGGATTCACTTCTATCAGCATTTGTTATAAGACTTGAAAAAACTTTGATCAATTAAACAAATCGCAGACATGGTTCACGTTCTATTTCAGGCGTATATATATGACACTGGTCGAATTCACTGCAAAATATAATAAAAGCCAAATATGCATTGAACGCTGCTCATACTCCAGCTTAGGCGAAGTGAACATGTTCAGACGGCCCGTCTGTGCCGAAGGTGCACCACTCGTGAGTTCACGGGAATTAGCATTATGATATGTCATTAGACTATCCATGATTTTTTCCCAAGACAAGAATTGTCCATCTGGAGGAACGCAATATCGAACAGCAAACCCATTATATCCTCACGCGTTAAAACCGTAACCAATTGTTAAAACAGTAGCCATATACTTTCTGTTTAGCCTGGCAAAGCGTCATTTTCGAAAAAAAATCCTTTTTTGGACTTGACGGTGCAGCTTGTTATAGACATTTTGTTGATATTTTACGATCATTCCTCTATATTTCCATTCATGCCTTTATCTGGTTTATTAACCACATTGTCAATGCTATCAAAGCCTTGAAAATGGAAAAAATTCATCAAGTCCAATAAAAAAAATAAAAAAGCTACTTAAAGCAAGAACATCCAAAATGCTCAGCTGTAAGGCAGGCCCTTATTATTGCACTTTTCAAACATAATAATTCTCTCCAGAGGAAAAAAAATCAAATCGTAGGAGAACGCTAGGAAATGAATGTTAGCGAGGAGAATATACAGGCGCGACTCTCGAAAAAGACGAAAAAGTTACCCCGAACAGGCACCGCTAAAAGCTAAGCTAGGGCGCAGCTAGACGTCGATGAAAATGTTGCAAGTATTTGATATTATACCAAAAGACATTCAACGTGTGTGTTGCTTTCTGAAAGGAATTATTGTGGCCGAGAGCTTCAATTTGTAGTTTAAAGATGGCACTTTCTCAATAAATTTTTACATACGGGAAAGATTGATTGTCGTTATGCAATAAAATAGTTTTACCGAAAAATTCTCAGTTTGATCAATGTCAAACACGAACTACAGGAATCAGTGGCTGTGCTTACAACAACAAAATATTGGTTGATCGAGTTTAAAAAAAGCCCTACGGGTAGCCGTGACAAACGCTGTAGTAATCCAGAAGAAGGAGGCGACCACATAAGTAATGTTAAAGAAACTGCACAAAATCCTATTGACGTGAGACTCGCAGACGACTATGTTAACTTATAACATTTTCCCATATTTTTTGCTTTCCTTATCAGTTACTTCTTGAATTCCCCTCGAATGTATGTTCGATTGAAGAGGACAACATCCACCTCAAATTTATTGCCGAAGAATACTCACAAGTTAGAGAAAATTTGCGCAACAACAATGAATAGCGCTATTGAATAACAAAAGCTATTTATTCACTCCCCCTTTACATATCTATAACTAAAGAAAATTTTCGTCTTCCGACCTTAGACTATAAAAACACAAAGCCATATTAACATGGTTTAGTTTTTCCATTAACACCAAAACACTTATGCGTAGCTTTTTTCCCTTGTTGAATATTGAGTGATTTTTTCTTTATGCCTTCGTTTCGATTTTTTCGTTCGTGTGATGCTTTTCTTCTACTAGAATCCTAAGTTAAAAGTTATTTTTGTTTTTAAGTACGTATTTTTATCTCGAGTTTTGTAAGAGACTACTCAGGGGCCAAGCTACTTGTTAAATTACAACTAGCAGAGATCGATTTGAAATTATCTAAAATTAGGTATCTTCCATGCATGTGTGTGTGTGTATGCATATTGTAGCATTCAAAATACAAAACTCCTTTTCTCTGTAATTCAAATATCATCTTTAAAGTTTTCAGCTGAAAGCTTTTTTTACCATAATGATTCTGCAGATTAAGTATATCTTTAGCTAAATTTCTAAATTAAAAGTTTACTACGAATACGTCAATCATTAATTTATAATGTTTTATATAGAAAATATTATTATTATTATTATTATTTTAATTTTAGACTAATGAATTGAATTCTTAGACTAAAAAAATAGAAAATAGAAAACAAGTCTTTCAGTTTTTATTTTTTTCGATATATTTATTTATATATATATCTTACGTAAATAAATATTATGATCACAAAAGATAATAAAATAAAACTTCTTTTTGATCAAATACGAAGTAAAAATAAACCAATTTGTTTGGTAATCCGTTTGCAAGCAAGTAATGTAACTATGCATATACATATTCTTCAAATGCATTTAGTATTGTTCTCTATGACAATTGTATAAAAGATCTCTTAATATGATCTCTCTGTTTGCACACAACTCGTGCTTGCATTATTAGATGCTGCTATTCTTCTGTATAATAATTCCGTCTCTGTTGTGCATATATGTTCTATATGCAAGTACTATAAACATGTTTCGTACAAAAACTCTCTTAATATGACCTCTCTGTTTACAAATATCATATTTATGCATTATTAGATGCCGCCATTGTTCTGTATAATAATTCCGTCTCTGTCTAGCATACATATTCTATATGCAAATTCTACTACAGCTTTTACACAATAGTTTTGTGTGATAATTTCGTCTCTGTTCTGCATACATGTTCTAAATGCACGTTCTATTATAGCTTTTATACAAAAATTCTTTTTGCACATATCTTGTTTATGCATTATTGGATGCTGTATAATTCTCAGTTGAATTGTAAAAATATAGATATAAGGAAAGGTATTTTTTACCATGAATTCGAGAGTACTTCTTCGATGCGTTAAAGTCGAAGGAGTCGACTTTTGGAAGGGTGGCGGAGTGCTCTGAGCTTGCTCGAACTTCTGCCACTTGTAATCAATTTTGTGTTCCACCTCCTCCTTTCTATTCCTTCCGATATCCCCACTATCTTCTTTCCTTTTACCTACTTTTCTTCTTCAAAATGTTCTTCTCCGTGAGGTTTTTATAGATTTTTTCTAAAATTTGTTAAATTTTTTTCTGAATAAAATTTTTGTTGTTTTTGTAAAAATTTTTTCTGAATAAAATTTTTGTTGTTTTTGTAAAATTTTTTTCTGA